AAAAATTGCAATAATATCGTATCGTGCGTTAAGTATTGTGATAATATCGTATCGTGGGATGTATGGTGATTCCCACCTCTAGTTGTTAGAGTTGTCAGGTATTTCCTTTATAAGTGCAATCTGTTCTACTTTCTTTGTGTCCCGAGTGTGAACTTGTGAGAACTAATCAGAGCTCGGAGATTTAAATAGAGGCTAGCTGTAATAAATCTAAAAAAAGAACATTTTCGAAGAGCTACTCAAAATGTTTTTTAAACAGAAAATAGCATTGTCCAGTGGCTGGTGGTGTTATTCTGGTGTTGCAGACAACAAAGTACTGTTTTATCAAAAGCATTTGCGCGATTGGTGTCTGTCTTTGGCTAATGATCCACAAAACACCTCACAAGTTTTGGTTGAGATCAGGCAACTAAAAGTTCCAAACACCGGAACAACTCTCGTGTTTGTGGCTGCTAGATTATTTGACCTAACAAAACACAGACTGGAATTCACCCGCTCTGCCTATCAAAGGCAAACCCACATACCAAAGTATTTAAATGAAAAAACAAAACAAAACAGCATTGAGAAACAGCAGGATGGTCTCTATGCCTCAGTGCGTATGTGTGAAGCATTACTCATCCTCTTACATTTCACGTAGTCTAGCAGCATCCAGTTAATCTGGCACTAAAACAACTGTAGTCTTACATGACAATCAAGTGTGCAGCAATGTACGTCAATATAACTCGTGCATCTGCCAGATACAAAGCATTAGAGTCACGCCACGCCCATCAGTAAGTATGTGCGTGCACGCCTGCTGCTACGACAGCCGTGCTGTCACTCAGAGTGGGAAGATTGCCACGAATGCTGATAAGAAGGTTTAAGGGAAACGGATAATACTGAGCCAAACAGCTGTGCAACTCCACATATGACTTTCCTTAAAACCTTGGAGCGTAATATAAGAGCCTCAGTTTCAAAGAATATATCTTGATGCAATAAAAAGGCTTTTGAATTTCCTAACCACATTTCCCTTTAGAACAACATGTAAACTGACAGAGTACACAGACGACACACAGAAATTCTCAGAAACATAGCCTGGCGTTATGTGATGATGTGTGATAATGATGCCAAATCCTTAGCTCTGTGTGTGTGTGTGTGTGTGTGTAGGAGGCTGGATTAATGGCGTTGGGATCATCAGAGAGATGTTGTTAAAGTGATTCATAGATGACATAACATGGATATCCTAAAATTCAAAAGCAGCACCATGTTTTTCAGCTGCTGGCATTCACTCTTATTTAATAAATACAGAGCAAGTCTGCAGTTTCCAGCTCTGAATCCTGAACATACATGAGTTGAGTATACAGGGAAACAGCGACTGTTGGTGCCATTGTAATCTCTGATAACACTTTGCAATTTTTCCCAACTTTCTTTGCAATGCAGGTGGTGCTGGCAATCCATCAACGATCATACATAATCAATTAGGCCCAATTATATTCAACAGAACTGAGAAAACAGCTGCTTATTTCCTCATTCCTTAAACGCCTCAGTAAATAGGTTAAAAAAGTCCAAGGGGAAAAAAATCAAAAAGGAACCACAGTCATGTGAACTGAAAACTCCGACAGCCAGCCAGTACTGGGGATTACATGATTTTTTTCAGTTATAAGCGCATTAGGAAACTTACAGTGGTCTTAATCTGCTCATAATTAGCGGCGGCGTGGAAAGAAACGTGGTCCTGCTGAGGCCAGCCAGCAGAGAGCTAACAGTAATGTCTCAGGACAAGCACCAGGGTCGGGCCTACTTTGTGAAGATGGTTGTGAGAAATGTGAAAACTTTGCAGATTAAAGAAAGAATTGATGCAAAAGTCTGTTTTATTTATTTCCACGTAGATGCATGTAACGTTATTATGACTAATGCATTTTGTGTTTTCATTACTTTGAATACAGCCAGTCGCACTACACAACGTTGGTTCATTTAGTGCTGAAGCTCTGACAAATCATTACTACTTCCACTTCCCAATCTGACAGTTATTAACCATTATACACTGGGCTCTGAATTAAAACAGAAATAAAATAGAAAGTAAAGCAAATCATTACAAAAATCTGTTGAAGTTTGAACCTTAAATCAGCATCAACGGTGTTTCCTCAAATATTCAACTTTTCCCATTTGTTTTCCTCTATCGTTGGGCTCTTACTGAGAAAATATGGAAATTATAAATATATAAAACCTCTGCAAAGTGCAGTTTTAAGTAGTGCACCTGAAAATCATATTCAACATTCAATTCTGCATCTGAAACCTTTGCTGTAGCCACCAATTCACAGGTTAAACCCACTGGTGTATTTAGGAGGTGATGACATAAACAAGATTTAAAGATTTACCTTTAGCTTGGAGCAGAATGAGTTAGTACACTGGAGCAATTTTCCAGAACAAATTTGCAAACATATGACTTTTTTTTTGCAGCGCAGATGAGGAGTCACTGGTTTCACACAGGCTAGTGGAAAGAATGTGAGGATTGGTGCAATTAAGAGCACTACTGGACTAATTTTTAAAAAAAAAGTATGTTTTGTTGCTAACCCCTGGTTACCTGTGCTGTCAGGTCATCGACCCTGCTAGCTATGTACAATGTGAAATGGTATTGTTAGCTCACAGATAGCAAAGCCGTAAGAATTGCCTCTAGTATCAAACTGCAGTCATAGAATCACTGCACCTTCACAAACAAAAGCATGTGACTGTATACATTTGGCTATGAATGGCTAGATGGGTAACTAGCTAAAATTAGAGCTACTAAGAACTTTGGTATCTGTGAAACACTATAAGCAGCTAATAGTTAACCAAATGCTATATGACAATATGTTATTAAGGTTTCATGTTATGTGACTCCTAACCATGTGACGTTAACTGTTGAGCAAATAAAGTAGCAGTCACACAGGCTTAGAGAGCAGCCCATCACCCTCCAGCAACTGCTGGTTACAAGGAGCAAATAAGTGTTCTGCAACCAGTTGGAAAGTGGTTGCAGAACAATCAGTGTGTATTCCTGACCGGTTGGTGAAAACTTCTTACAGTTGCTATCGATTTCCGTGGTACTGACTAGAGATGGACCGATCCGATATTACGTATCGGTATCGGTCCGATACTGACCTAAATTACTGGATCGGATATCGGAGAAAAATTTAAAAAATGTAATCCGATCCATTAAATATCAAAAAAGCACCTCACAAAACTTGCGACATGGCGTAACTCGGCTCATAACCGTAGCAAATAAATACTCATTTTTCCCTCACAACTGGTGGTTTTATGAAGTCCAATATGACAGAAAGTTCATGTCGCATTTTGCAAGAAAGCTCTTAAATTATCTCCCAGCTCCAACAGTGATGTGAGCTATACCAGCATATTCTGAGAATTCAATCAATTTTAGCTACTAGATCAAAGGAAAACACTTTTAGTTCAAATTACTTGATATTTGGAGTTCACGTCTTCAGGCAGAGGTAAAAAAAAAAAAAACTTCCATTCACCTTTAAACAACCTGCTAACCCAGGTGAACAAGCTAGATGGGGTCAGTAGAAATATTTGGTGAGGAATGTGAGGAATCAGTTTGTCTGAAACCTATGTCACATAGGCAATATAACCTCTGAACCTACGCACAATCAGCTTTGAGGGGTCTGACAGTGACCATAGGTCTGGCAATAGATTGAACAACTATTAAAGAAAATTCAATGCAACTTAAAGTAAACAAATCCAAAATTTATACCTCAGTTACTCATCACTGCTAGGACAGCATTTCAATATAAGATAAAAGGTCATGGAAGACGTGTAACCTGTAACAGGCTAGTAGTCTGACAAGTTTCTTACCGCTGTAGAAAGTCTGGAGGCCAGCGTCATCTCCAAGTTGCCTTTAAGCCCCAGCAGTGCAGGAACTAGGATGAACACCTCAGACACATCGGTGAACACCGTCCAGTGCTGCAATGACATAGCAAAACATTATTATCAGCACCACAACATTAACAGAGCGCACACTCTGCCATACTGAAACTGGTTCACAGCCACACAGGATGCTGTCACCCGCATAGATAGAGGTTAGCTGCAGTTCGGAGCAGACTGTCTCTGGGTCTGTGCAACCTTTAATATTGATTTAGAGGTGAAACAACTCCTGCATTAAAGAGCAGAAAATCTGCCTCTATAGACCTTTCACACTATGCATCATGCCAGCTCCCTCTTAACAAGAACAAGGGCAGTAAAACCTAAAGCTGAAATGATTGATCACTCTCCTACTTTAGCTTGCATTCTGTTTTCCTTCTCTGTCACCTTTACCCACCATCTCCTGTAGCGTAAACACAGGGACTGTCTCATGTCTCTGTGTAATCATAATACTATACACATTTATATTTATATCGAAATCTGTACTGTACAAGATATTTCAGAATAAAAGCAGACTGCAATCTCGGTATTCTTTCACCCCAACCGGTCGCAGCAGATGGCCCCGCCCCTCCCTGAGTCTGGTTCTGCCGGAGGTTTCTTCCTGTTAAAAGAGAGTTTTTCCTTCCCGCTGTCACCAAAGTGCTTACTCATAGGGGGTCATATAATTGTTGGGTTTTTCTCTGCATCTATTATTGTACGATCTACTGTGCAATATAAAGCACCTTGAGGCGACTGTTGTTGTGATTTGGCGCTATATAAATAAAACCGAATTGAACTGAATAGTTTTTGATGGGCGGAACCAGATTTTGTTCTCCACACGGCCGTTTTACCCATCCAGTGCCACACAAATGGAAACACGGCGCAGCTAAACAGCATCAGTAAGATAGATGGGACTGAATATTTAGAAGCCAAGTGAACTAGATGATTAGCAACTCTTAAAGACAAAGCATTATGTTAATTTCCAGTTCAATCAATGTCTGAAACAAGTCGTTTTAGCTCCCTCACACCTAAGCCAACTCTCTTCTCATTGGTTAAAGATACCCAATCTCATTGATATCATCAAGCAAATGCTAAACCTGAACACTGTTATGGCTTATAGGATTACTTGTACATTTGGTACTCTGATTATCTGAAACTTTGCCCATCTTTAATATGAGCATCCACCACTGTAATCTATTATATAGTATGCATACGATAGAAAATAAGGAAAAGCAAAATATTTCTCAGTGCTCTGCCCTCCTCATGGGGACCCTCTGTGACACATAACACAGCATGAGTGTACAAAACATCCGACTGAATTAATAGAGTAAAGCCAAAGCCCAATGCATCATGTACCATAGAAAAAATAGTTTGATATTACTTGTGCCTACTTTAGTGCTTCAGCATCTGATCATTCATTGCCAGGGGTGCGCTTGCTTGCTCAGCTCTTACCGCAGCATAAAAAAAAGCTACATTTTGCTGTACACACTACTCCGAGAAAGTCAGCCAGCAGCTCATCTATCTAAATCAGCTTTGAAGGTAGTGGCCTAGCTGGACAGAGCCACAAATAAGGGAACAAGTAAGGGAACAAGACTGCTCAGCTGTGTATCCAGTAGATGGTCTGAAATTACATTTACAGCTAGTATTATTAGGCCTGACCTTCGATAACCTGGTCCCTGGCTGCTGGCCAGTCCTCGAGAGGTGGGTTCCCTGTAACTCCCTCTGTGAACTTCTCCCTCCATTAGACTTCATGCAGCGATAGCAGATTTGCGGTCTACTGTGGCCAGAAACAAAGCTATTGCTGAAGCTAAGGCCATCGATTTATCTCCAGTCAAAGTGCTTATCATAGGTGCCGGTCCCACTGGCCCCCAGCACTTACAGTCCAGTCTAACCAGAGCGGAATCAATATTCACTGAGGCTGGCACCGAGCAGAAAAGAAAGAGGGGAAAACAGATGCTGAAGCTACAAGACAACACTGCTGGCCTGCATTTCTCACACAGAGGTCTAATGTGTGTGCTTGCTAGGTTGCTCCCACCAGATGTACAGCACTGATAAGGAGTGTCGGCTACACTCGTGTTGTCTTTAGAGGTGGTGGTTGAACTCTTTCTGCCTATCCCTTTAGCTGTCGTTAAGCCAAGCAGAGCTCGTTTCCAACAACCAGCCTCTCAGCTTGGCTCACTGCCCTCTGCCAACCCGACAGCCTTGTGAGCACTTCTCTCTTCTTTCATAGCTGTATGTTTTCAAGCTTTCCTTCTGTCTCACTGGCCTATCTTCCTCTTTGCCTCCCCTGTGGTGATATATGTTGTTGTCTCCATGGAACGCTGGCTCGGAGCCAAACAAACCCTCCCTCCTCGCTTCTAAGAACTCGACTGGAGAACTGCAGTACCTCTGTGTACAGACCTATAGGAGCTCTGGTATGCAAGCCCCGCAAGGGTCAGGATGCCCAGTTGAGAAACGTGACCTTTTATTTTATTTGTGATAATTGCACTTGCTGTGTTGAGCGGGACGCCGAACCCCGATGGCATGCAATGTCAACGCAACTCCAGCAGCGTCACAGACACTACAGCAGGTGGTGTCTGTTTCATTTTTCTGTTGCTGCAGCATGGATGGTACAGTCAGGGTCTAGTTTATCTGTATAAACTAATATCTGCATTTAGATAAGAAGAATATGTAGGGCAAGCTACCAGAGGAATCTGTAGTCTGTATGTAGTTTTACCGAGCAGGTTTTGGCTGCATGAATGGAAAGAGTCCAAGTGGGGAGCTAAAGAAAGTCAAAACTCCATCTCAAAACCATCAGCTATCATCACATGGTAATTTACCTCTTTTTAGATTTCTATGAATTTATAAGGAAAATCAAACACAGTCCCCACAGTTCAAGTCGGCAACTTAGATAATGCGTTCGCAGGCCTGAGCCTGGTTCTGCTGGAGGTTTCTTCCTGTTATGAAGGGAGTTTGCTGCTCATACAGGCTTGTATGATTGCTGGGGTTTTCTATCTACTATTGTGGAGGCTTTGCCTTACGATACAAAGTGACTTGAGGCTGGTAATGTTGGGATATGGTGCCATATCAATAAAACTGAACTGAACTGAATTGTTTGGGACCAGATAAGAAGGGCTGGGGTGGAAAGCCTGAACTCTGTGATGAGGGGGCAGCCTAGGATCAAAGGTTCCTCAGGATCTTTCACACTGTGAAAGATTAATCAGAGCATGGGGCAACACAAAGGCACTCTAACCCACTAATCCTGTCCATCCCTATCACTCACATCCTAACCAAGCAGCTATCTGAGATATGGTCACGTTTTAAGAGCTGCGAGGTGATAACATTGTTAATGACCGTCACGTCATCAACGTTACAAGCAGAAGTCACCAAAATAAAACAACTACTCATGACAAGCACTCAGTCACTGCAATAGGGAGGGCAGAAGTTTAGAAACATATGCTTACATGGGGTTATTAAATTGTGATTTTTAAGATTTTGGTGATTTTGTTCAGACAAATTCTGGAAAACATAGAAAAATAGCATACTGTGGTGTGAATTTAAGTAGTGTCTGATTAAGCTATGGAAACCAAAGTCTGGGTATGAAGCTAGAAGCTGAAGAGACAATGCAGTTTGAGGGAATTAAGCCCACGTTCTGGTTTGAAAGTGACTCCTGAGTGAAAACCAAGCACGTGGATGTGGTTGGACCAAAATGGTATCTGGTGGGTAGTGAAGGCTTGGCCAGAGTTAAACCTTTGTGTGGACTATGATTTCCTGTTTACTGGTTGCTGTATTTTTAGACCGTGTGTCTTTGAGGCTGAAGCTGCGTTCTATTCTTTTTCCTCTTTTTTGGTGTTTCAGTCTACAGACACCGCACACCAGGCCAGACGGCTAACTCTGAGGCAGACAAACACACGCGGATGATTATCATAACATACAACACTGGACACGCATATTTGCTTTTGTCTTTTTTCAGCTTTTTGTTTGTAGATTGATTGCACAAATGATGAAATCTTATGTGACTGTGAGTAAGTGTGCGTGTGTTTCAAAATAACAAAAATCACCCATTTGGCCTTGGACTCCGACATCCCCAAGAAAACTAGCACTGCGTGACCTTTCCAAACCACACGTAACCTTCAGTCCAACTGAGCAGGTCAGTCCTGGGTTCCCGGCCCTGCCAATGAGAGACTGACAGTTTTAGGTCATTTGCCTGCCAAGTCACTAAGCACAACTATGCAGACGTCTCACTCCTCTATACCAGTTGGACAATCCTTTCTGGGCCAACCTTGTGAGGGAAAAAGGCCAGAAAACTCTGTGCGTGTGTGGTAGATGGTCAAAGTGACCAGGATTTAAGAGGTCAAAGAGCCAATATAGAAAGTGACACAGAAAGTCGAGTACACAAGTGTCCAAACCACAGCTTTTAAACTCAGGCCAGGCAGACACATTAACTAAAGGTTCAGGCATCCCAGAAGAAAAGCTTGCTACTGACTATAGTGCTTTCTTCGTCTCATAACCAACATATCATCTTTGGAACTGGAGATTACTGAGTCCTGACCTTTTTATTCTAACCTCCAGGAGAAATAAGGGGTAAACAAATGAACCAAAAGAACAAACAAATAATTCTGTCTAATTTGAGAACAATCCAAGAAACACAAGAACAGCAAGACCCAAATGACTTTGAATTTTATCCATAGAGAGAAACTTCTGAACTCAGGAGAGCTAGTTAAGTTCTCCTGGATCACTTTATCTCATCTGATAATCAAATAAAGATCTGTGCTTTACTTGTCTGCATAAATTAGCTCCTTATTTAGCGAGACAAATAAAGATCAGTGCAGCAAGAAAACAGACCTGCCTCGTGTTTTAGCATCAAGTTAAAACTTGTTCTATTCACATTTTGGCAATCAGAAGAAAAAAAAAAAAAAAAAAGGGGTTTCCAACACGAGAAACTACATCTACCTTTTCATCAGCTTCATATACATTAGGTATTGGGGCTCGACCTAACCCTAAGCACGTGACCTCAGAAAGTTATGCTCACTTATAGCCGAGGATCAACTGCAGTCCCAACGGGAGAGAGAAACAGAGAGTAAGATAGAGTTAGACAACTACCTTCCTGCAAGGACAGGGGGGATTAGCTGAGTTAGCGTTTCATGGTGTCACGGGGGGAATTAGGCAGCCAGACGACCTGCTGGATGCTCAGCCGACCTCAATGGAACTGCAGTAAGAAGCCTCGCATCTTACTGCAGCCATTTCTTTCAGCTATTTACTCTCAGGTACAAGAGTGCTAGACCAGCAGGGAGGGATACGGCCCTCTACCTTCTGTGTGAGCTTGTTTCCAGTCACACCTCTGAAAGAATGGTGCACTGAGTGTTTTGGAAATTAAAGAGAACGCAGCAGCATGGTGCCTAAGTTGAGGCAGCATGAAAACTTTTTTGACCTCAAACCTCTGCATTCCTGGTTTAGCGAGGATACCTAACCACATGGCAATAGAGGCCTTGGCGTTGAATTGTATTTTGTTTTTACTCCGACTCTAGCTCAGCTGTAGTACGCTGCCATTTCAGGTGCTGAAAGAAAGTAAACTTATTCCCCCGCCTCCCCCCTCCTGTCTGTTCTGAGTTTCTGGGGTCCACCATGTTGGCATCAGCGTATGTGCACACAGTTTGCCCAGACCTGGCGGACTGACATGGCCGGCTTTATCTGCATTCCAAACGGACTTCAAATAAATATATAACATTTCTACAGAGCACACTTGGATCCTCTCAGAGCAAAGGCAGTGACTCATCAGGAAATCAAGTCCTAGTGGATCATATAGCTCCCTGGCTATGCACTGCTATGCAAATACCGTCTATTGTTTCTTGTACTTTATGTGAGATTTTGAAAAGAGGTGTGTGTGTGTGATGACTCGTTAGAAGACACACCAGTGTGTACCAGTATGCGCCAGCCACAGGGACAGTCAGCCCAGCCGCTGAGGAGAAATGTTATGTAAATACCCCCATGGTGTCTGATAACTGCCCCATACACACATCCCCAAAGACAGGCAACCAGATAGGCCACCAGCACGATGACTGACACATGCCAAGGCAAACCGGCCTCGGTGCACTAGATCATTCAAATGTTTCACGGGCGAGCCTATCCCGTAAGTGTGACTACACATGGCCTGCTTGGTGCAGTGGATCTGCTTAGAAAAACAGCTGTGAAATGAAATGTAAATGCCTGCGAGGAAAAGTTGGGGTTGTGCATTGACACCAGACTTTTTGCAAGTTCCAACAGCCGAACCCCTGTCAATGCAAAAAACAAAACAAAAACTTTTTAAAGAGTAGACAACACAGGATTAACCAGCTTGGGTTCTTTATTCTGAGTTGCCAATTACATTGTGTAAGAAATCTCACTCACCTGGACGATGTCTAGCACCATCCCTGCTGCCACCGTCCCGAACCCGGCCAGCAAGAAGGGGAAGACCACCTGCAGTCCGATGGAAAAGGAGGTCTCCTTGAGGGGTGCTGTTGGTTCGGGGCTCTGATCGGTGCTGGTGTCATCACTCTCGTTGCTCTGGCTTGCATTCTCCAGGAGCGCATCCTCCTCTCGCTGACCTTTGGCATTGGCCCGACAGTCCATGGCCACCACAATCTCCGACCTCTCGTCGTTCTCCCCAGTCTCATTCACTCGCTCGGGGAAAGATGTGACCTCGGTGAGCTCAAACTCATCCCCGGTCACCGGGCTCACTTCTTCGGGGCCCTTTGTCAGGATCACCGGGTGGACGGTGCAGTTGGAGTTGAGGAAGGCCGAAGTGAGGGGGCCTCCCTCCTTCTTCATCTCAATGGCCCCAGAGGACATGTCGATGTCGGGGAGCTTTTCTTGTTCTTTCGACCAAAGTACCATGCGGAAGCCTTTGAAGACAGTGGGCTTGATAAGAAAAGGTCAGCGTGCCTCAGCCTAACGGTTTTGTGGGAAAGTCAGAACTGACCACCGGATCTGGTTTTGAACCTGATCAGTCCAACTGATTTATCCCATTAAAGAGGCCGACAAGGTGTGGAGGTCGGTCATAAAGACTGGGAGAAAAACACTCTGCCAGAAAAAACCTGCAGCGAGGCACATGCAGCCGTGCGTCTGCAAAGCCTGTGTTCCTGTCGGTGCTTCGGGAGCAGAACCAGTATGTTCTCCATTCACTGCAAGGTGCTCAGGTTAGGCCGGCAAAAAACAGAAGACATACTGGTTCAACATAGAAAAGGATAGAAAACAACAGGGAGGCGACTCACCACAGAAATCCCCTGCAGTCAGCTGCAAACAGTCCTTTGCAGTTCAGTACAAGCTGGAAAAATATGTAAATCAGAGACCTGCAGTGGCACCGGTCATGCTGTCAGTCTGCTGTCCATGTGAGACTGGTCGCTGCACAGGGCTCCAAACGTCTCACTTTACACCACGTGGCCGCTGGACAGTTTTCAAATGTGATATTTAAAGGTCTCAGTATGAGGATTGAATTACCAACAGTGGAAAAGTATCTCTCCAACCAGAGTGGACCGTCACCTGGGGAAAGAATGAATATCATTAATTATTCAGTCTTAAATAAAATCATTTTCCAGCAGTACCCCACATCTATTTCCAAAAATCTCTAAGTAGCAGGGCAGCTTTTACTGCCCTGATCAAAATATTCATAAATCAAAAATTCCAAAAAGTTACAAACCAACATTCAGATCTAACTGGTGAGAGGACAGAGACACTGTGCGGTGGTGTTTAGGCTTGGATGCTGCAGCTCCTCATATTCAGGTGTTAAAATAAATAAAGAGGACAGAAAATCACTGTTAGGCACTAACTTCACCGTGGGTACCACAAATGCCCCGTCAGCCCTACTAATAGATTAGTATAGCCCCAAACAATTGTTTGCGCTCCCCTCCATTACAGCAGTGCTGAGCAGATCCCAACAGTGAGTTTAAAAACAGTTTCATCCAGCGCCAAATTTCCTCCCGGTGGCTAAAAATATTCCACCATTAACAGAGGCGCTGCGCACATCCTCTGCAAGCACAGCTTCCAACCACAGCAGCGCAACAACGACCACTGTCACGATTTTCAAAGTAAAAAACACCCCTCACTTTACCCCCCAACTCTTAAACTCACTGCAGCAGACAGGAGTGTAACAAACAGTAACACAACAGAGGTCCCCTTCACACATCAGAAACAACCTCACTGCAGTCAAGTACCGAGCGTGGACACACATGGTTAGTCATTCACACCGACATGAACTACTTGTATCAACAGAAGTAAGCAGCAGGTAAAGCAAAGCATTCAGTGCTGCTTTAATTAAAACAGTAATGTCAGCTACTGACATAAACTGCTGTATTATTCAACTCAGTGTGGTGATGAAGCCTGTTGAAAAAATACCATCACCAATCTATGACGCGATCCTTGGTGAGATCAGGTCACGGTCCACCCGTGTTTACTTCACATAATAAAGCAGCTTTTACTCTGAAGGCCTTTCTTTTACCTTCCAGTGTTGCTGCTGCTGACTTGAAGCAGCTTTCCTCTGACTGCAAGTTGCGACATCCGCACGGACTTTCCCGGCTCAAACAATCCTCTGCTTAGTAGTCAGGACCAACACCACCCGAACCCAACATGGCAAAGGCGTAAATTAGTGCTCCCCTGGTCAGGGCTGAATAGACGAGCCCTGCTATTCTGTTCTGCTTCTCATTTAAACGAGGGCAGAGGGCTCTCTGTTCCATCGCCGGGCTGGAGCCCATGTCACTGCCACTGTAACCACGAGTGTTAAACTCGTGAAAAATTGTGTCCCCCCCCACCCCCCTAAAAAAGAGAAAAAAAAGTAATCATTCTTTACCATCACCATAGCTGAGGTACAAGTTGCGGCTTTGCAGTTTGAGTCTCGAATGACACATCCCGGTAGAAATGTGCACATTAAAATAAGTAATGTAAAAATAAATACATACATAAAAAAGCTCACGGGTGCTTACCTCTGAGTGCCAGTAGTCCTCGGTGTGAGGACAGACCGGAGTGATGATCTGTATGAGTACAGGGACTCCGTGTGCCCGGCTGAATTTATCCTCCACCTCTTGTTAACGCGCTCAGGCTTGTGAGGCGTGGAAGCCGGTACGCACGCCTTATGTGCGGTACCGGCTCTGCACAGCTGATTTAATGGTTAATGTTAGTTAATGGTTAAGCCCTGCCCTCTGTGCGGCTCCAGTCTGCCTGTTACATTGTACACATGCAGTGCCGCCCGGCTGCCTGGATGCGCATCTATAATACACCCGCACGGTGCAGGGGGCCAGGAAGCCACTAGGCGGGCCCTCCCTCCACAATCTGGATAGTCGATATAGACCCCCGCCCCACCTTTACCTCCCTCCCCTCCATTACCGACCTTCCACCCCTCTGGTTTCCATTGCGCACAAGCCCCCCACAACCTCTACCCAGTGTGTGCCCATGCCGTGCCGGTCTCTTCCACAAGCCACTAATTTACTACCACCGCGCGGAGACTGCAGTTTTAGTTTAACAGTGAGCTTGATTTCTCAATGAATGGGCTGGCAGGGGTATGAGTACGGTCTGTATGAGTCTGACCAATCTGGGGCAAATTTAGTCACTGATCCACCACCATGGAAAGGACAGCTTGCATAAGTGAAAGTTTTGAAATGTCACCAATGTGACCTAAAGCAGGAACGGTTAGAACTGATATGGTTGTAAAATGTGTAAAGGTGACACAAAACCCCACATTATTTAAAAATATACAGAGTACTGCATCATTATTATGATACTACTACAATATTTATTTTAAAACCTGTAATGAGTAAAACAAAACAAAAAAAAAGGTAGACAACTCATTTTATTTGTGGGCCAATTTCATTTCAAGTGGGCTTCGGTTCAGTTATATTAATGTATCACTTCACAACAACAGTGTAACATTAGAGAGAGAACCCCAACAATTTCACTGTTATCAGCAAGCACTTGGTGATGGTGGGGAGGACGAATGTATATTCTGAAAAGATTCACATGTAATGAACTATCTACACACATGACTGATAGCCTAATAAAAAGGAAAAAAAGATCTTAGGTCTCAAGAAAAACAAGTGTCCTTTCAAGATTTGTGACTTTGGTCCACAGCCCTGAAACAGAGATGTGTTGAACAAAGTTTCTAAGCTCACCTGTGGAGTTCCACAAGGCTCCATCTTTGGGCCTCTTTTATGTAACACTAATCCCCATTAGAAGAAGCCAAACTGCTCTAATAGGTTTGTGACCTGAAATGTAAATTTATATCAGATAACCTTTTTGGTCTCTTGTCAGTACACAGACCTGCCAGCTCAACAAAGTTAAAATGTTAAGAAATAATGTTTAATGGTTCTGCTTTCCTCCTGTCATTCAGAAGGTAGTGTACAGCAGGCTTGTTGTTGAAGGCAGCAGCTGCTGTTTATAAGTGTTGCAACACAGAAAGGAAACATAAAGCTGTAGCTCCTCAACACCAAAACAATAAACTGAAAGCTGCTATTGTACTAACAGGATTACACTAGTTTGCCCGTTTAAACTACACTCACTTTGGAGGCATTTTTTCTACTTATAAGGATTAATTGCACTGTTTTGCTACTGTTATTAGTTTTTGTTAGTTTTTGAAATGCTATGTACTACAGAAATACCAATACACTTTAAGAAAAAAACAAAAAACAAAACAAGTGCTTGTACAGTATGTGTGGATGTGTGTTTATGTTATCTGCCTCCTCCTGATGTTCCTGTAGAACAACATCTCTAATAATGTCCCCGGAGAAGCAGCAGCTTTGTTGTGCTGTTTGCCTGTTGCTTTACAGCAGGAGTTCAGCTCAGCAGCACCAGGATCACCCAGCAGGCAAAAGCTGCAATTCATCCACACCCTGCCCCTCTGAGCTGAGCCTGTTTGCACACAGCAGAAACATCCAGTGGATGTGTACTTACGCAGGTTTGCAGGTGAACAGGAAGCTGCACTTTCACTCTGTGGTCAGATTACTCATGCTGTAGCGATTTGGCAATTACAATTTTATTCATTCATGCATACTGATTGCATATTGTTTTCCATGAGCGTCAGGATGTGTGATTAGTTTTGGACTTAGTGCACAAATACATGAGCGACATTAGTCTTACAGCTCTTGCAGGAATTCTTTCTTAAACTTAAAGATGTTATTAAGATTTTATTAAGTCATTTGTTGTTGCTTTGTTTTACTTTTGTCTGTAAAAGGCCAGATGTTGTCACCTTTCATGGCTCAAAGCTGAATTTAACCTTGTTTACATGAATGACTATTTGCTTTTGTTCTGGATATGAAAGATAAAAAACTGACTGAAATTACTGAGCATTATCTTAAGATGTCTAAAGGCGGGGTGGGGGTTTCCAGGAAGCAAATCAGTGCAACTAGGAACAGCTCTGTGATCTAGATATGAGGGGTTTTCAGATAACTTGGCAGAGCGGCTTCCTGGAACAGATCACTTTTTACAGTTTGCACCACAATATTGTGCCAGTGTAAATAAGGCAGCTGCAGAAATTGCATTTAAGCACAATTCACATTACTATTTTCTGCATTTTTCATCTATTCATTGCTAGTGCTTTAATGTGTACATGCAACATACACACTGACATTTTTTGATGTCTCTGCTATGACTGGTGCGCGTGTTGCAATCTGCGTTGTAGGTGGACCCACTCCTCTGTTGCTGTCACTGAGTTTTTCCAGCATTTATGTTTTTATCTGAAATTAACTTAAACTTAAAGGCATTAGTTTCAGTTTACATGAATTCCATGGAGAATACAGTTTATTTTAGAGAAGCACATTAATGCAGATTCCACGGGTAACCTGCACTTCTGTGTAGGCACCATTAATGCTGACTGGTTTAGGAGCGATATTCACTGCCATCCTGAGGAGGTTGGGTTTTTTTTAAGGGAAGGCCAGTCCATGAAAATATTGCAGTTACTCAGTAGATTTCATAAAACTGGAAGGTCCTTCACGATCATTTCCCTTGATTACCAATATTATACACCATCGCCATTGTCCACAATCTGGTGATGAAAACAGGAAAATTAAAATGTCAAAGAACTCTTTTGACATACAGGACATTTTGTATACTTCTGGTCACGGTTTCACAAAAATGCTCATTTTTTTCTCCTCAGAATCATCAGAAAACAGATAAGACAACAAATGTCCCAGTTCTTGTTTCTGTTATATTAACCTAGCGCAGTTTTACTGAGGCCGATGCTCAGTGTTTGTCATAGGAAAATTTT